TGGCCATGCGTATCTGGGACAATGTCCTCAAGAGCCAATCAATTCGAGAGATCCTCCATTGGAGCGATGAATGCTTCGGTGGTAAGAAGTCGCCCATGAATTCACTCTACAAACTTGAGGGCCTCATGCAGGCATCAAAGGGAAACCCTGAGGACATGAGGGCAATTCTGATGCTGCTCATGGACACTGCTTTGAATGGAGTGATCCGGCCATCAGAGATGTCTTTGCAGTGCCTGACTGGCAGGAACACTTCAAGTGGCAAAGGGTGGCTTGGCTGGAAGATTGAGGATGTTTGAATGACTTGACCGTGAAACTGAAAGATCTTTCGTTGTCAATTTTGTCACGGGCCATGTTGATTGATGTTTTCCAACTATTTTAATAACTTGTGTTTTTCCACCTGGAAGACTGTAGTTGACTTGTGGTTCAAGTCTTACGACATTGGTTGACATTGAACTTGAGGCTCCTGCATCTTCTCCTCTTCAAATCAGATGCTCTGAACCGTATGCTTGTGAAATTGGATGATGCGCAAGTGATGCCAGGGTCTGACTTGAAGAAGCTGAAAGATGCTGCTTTGCTGCAGACAGGCTTTGCCATTGTCATTGTTGGGACTGAATAATTTTATGGTTACATTTTGACCGACAGGTTTCGCCATTGTCATGCACTGTTTGTTTCATTTCATTCTTTAATTCCTAGGTGCTGTCCTCTCCTCCTGAGTATCGCAAGCACACTGGCGGGAAACCATTCTCACCAGAGTCTTTGAAGAAGGTCATGGAGAACCTTGGCAGTGGTGATTTGGACATTGCTCAGCATGGTGCTGTGACCAAAGCTGATATGACCTGGCTGGGGTCGCTGTCCCCCAAAGCCCAGGACACATCAAGCTTTGATTTGTCAAAGAAGTTGTCATGTGTTCGACCATCATCGTCACCTGTCATTGCTGCCATTGTCCATGTCATGAGTCAATGTCTGGTTGATTGAAGTCTTGCCCTCACTGTCACGTCTCAGGTGTCAACATTCAGGAGTCATGTAATTGACAGCCTGTTAACTTAGTTACGATGTTCTTCATGTTGGGTTGTTGTTGGTGTTGTTGGTTGGTGTGTTGCTGTTGTTGATGGTTGATGGTTGCTTCCGCTTTACTGTTACTACTCACGCTAAAACTATGTTTGCTCCTGTGGTGTCATTTTGTTGGTGGCTAGTTGTCATGCATCTTTTGTTCTTCATTGACAAATGGAACGATGTTGGACAGGAGGCGTTCTCATTTCTGGAAAGCTTCATATACAAAGGCAGCTACGACGGTTGCATTCGCACTGGGCTTCGTTGTGGCCACAGTGTCATCGATGTCTTGAACCATGCAGATGTCAAGGAGCAGTGGGAGAAAATTCTGGATAATAAAGCAGATGTCCAGGAGGATGGGAAGAAGGGCAACAGTCTGGACAATGATGACTCAGACAGTCACTTGTCCTGAGCATCGTTTCTCCTAGCAGTTTCCGACAGTTTCTCCTAGCAGTTTCCTAAGTTGAATTTAAAAACTAAGCTTGGCATCACTGTCTTCAATGATTGGTGAGGCTTGGTGTCACTGCTCAAGCTCCAGAACATCCCCTCTGAAACCGCTGAGTCTGTCCTGGCATCTCCCGACAACATGGCAACACTGAAGAGCTGTCAAGAGGACGCCATTGGTGTGTCAAGTAGGTGTTTTGCAGTTGGACACTGACTGACTTGAATTGTTGCGACACTGACTTGAGTTTCGTGTGCAGGATGCAAGGAGGCTCATTGCAAGCAGTGTGAAATGTGTCAATGGCAACCAGTCTTTGGCCTCGCTGGCAGAAACCTTGAGTGAATGCCAGTTCTTCAAGGTGCGCGGGGACCAGACCACCTCAGTTCTCTTCATCTATGAGGTGGCTTGCTCTGGTGAAAACTACAACAGGAAGAGGCAATGAGGGTCATTCAACTTGTCAGCTCATGTTGCTTAAAGGTTCTGAAGACATTGACATTGAATTTGTATTTGCATTGATTTGAATTTGTCATTGTCATTATTATCAGAGTGTCTGTTGGTCAACATCATTGTAGTAGGCCATTTATGCATTGTCCGCGGTAATTTGTGCCATCATATACGCCTGCTGCCAGTCCAGTGCCCTTCCGCAAAGAGCATTTGCACAATGTGGTGAAGGCTTGCCTGAGCACCCGTGCTGAGCCTGGGGAGGCAATTGACTGGGAAGCTGATGTGTTGCAGCTTCCCAACATGCATGATTCTGATGTGCGCCCTGGCATTCTGTTGACAGTGTGACAGGGTGTCATGGTCAAACCGCTACCCTCATTCATTGAATTGTCATTGAAATTGAATCCTCAGGCTCCTCTTTAATCTTGACCATGTGTCCCTCATTCATTGTCATTGAAATTGAATTTCTTGAGTCAGGTTTTCTATTTATTGACATTGTTACACCACTACCTTCATTCAATGTCATTCAATGTCACTGCCCTCATTTCTCAGGTTCCTCTTTTTGGATGGAGGCAGAGACGGGCTCCAGAATCAATTCTGGAGTAGCTTCGCAAATGTGGCAAAGCCTTGCCAGAAGCGGTTTCACATAGTGTATGAAGACGCCAGTGTAAAGAAGCAGAAGGAATTTCGATCAGTCACTGCCACGTCGCAAGACCGTGGATGCTTGAACTTGGGCCAACTTGAAACGGTTTGTGTGGCCTCTGGCAAGAATCTCAACACGATAGTCGGAAACCGACAAAACAAGTCACATGTTGGATCCACGGCCTCAAACTGCCTTCAGAATGTGAGCAAACCGGATCTTTCAAAGCTCACCCAGTTGGACCCAACTGTGAAGGCGACATACTTGGGCGATTCTTTAGTCAAGGACCCCAGGTCAAAGGCAGAGTCTGGGGGCGCCGCTGTCCCTGAGCCTTTCAGCCTTGAAGTGATGTCGAAAGATTTAGTGTGACTTTGGATTATTAACAAAGAAGTTTTATATTTTAGTTTTAGTCAGCTAGTCCAATCCTGCAATTCATTGTCAACCTATGAATATTTTTTAGTCCAATCCTGCTAATCAAGTGTCAACCAAGTCCTTCAAGTCCTTGTTAAAACATGACAATGCTTGATGCGTTGCGTTGGTTTCATCCCACATGACAATCGTGTGTTGATGTCACTGTCATTCCAGGAAGGAACTGCTTCATCGGTTTAGACCAAAGCTCGTTGTCTTCCAGACTGGCACGGACCCAACTATCCTCCAGCCGCTCTTCAGCGCGAGCATTCCACCCGTTGTGTGTTGCTGCTCCCCTGAGCATATGAAGTGGTATCAGGTTGCTGCTGAAGCCATTGCTGTAAAGTCCTTCTTGGATTGTCAGTCCAAAACCTTCAAAGCAGATGTTGCCAAAATCCTCAAGGCTGATGCAGGTGATGAGGCTGAGGATGATATGACTGGGAAGCCACTTGAATTTAACCTTTATTAAAGTCACTGATTTTACTGCTGTTGTCTTTATATTTGTGGTTGGTGACAATGATTGACAATGATGGTTTGAGTGATTGTCTCATTGAATTAACTAAGGAGTGTTCCTGAGCGTGGCCGTGGTGGCCGTGGACGTGGCGGCCGTGGACGTGGTGGCCGTGGACGTCCAAGAGGTCGCGGGCGAGGTGGCCCGAAGCCGCAGCCTAAGGGCGATGAGGGCGGTAAGGAGAGTGATGATGCTGCGGAAGAGGATGATGATGATGATGTGGAAACTGCTGACGAGGAGGATGACTCTGAGTAGAAGCATCTTGCAGTGTGAGTAGAATTTTGATTTGGCCTTTAATAAAGGTTTGACACTCCGGGCCTTCATCGTGCTTCACTGTGGCCAGGATGTGAAAAATGTTAAACTGTTTTAAGTATCATTGTCATCAGTGTCATTGCCACCTTCATCATTGCCACCTTCAACAGTTTCTTCAACTGGCTGCCACCCACTGTTCCCATTGTCAGTTAAACTTGATGTGTGCGAACTGTCAGCCTTGCTCAAGCGCGGTCATCACTGTCAGCCATGTCCGGTGGATGTTCTCAAGATGCCTACTGGCCAAATTTTACTTTCAAAGAGGAAGACCTTGAGGATGACAAGATAGAGGATGAGGCAGGAAGTGATCCTGATTCCCAGGATCTGGATGACAAGGACAACAAAAAGGAGGAAGCTGATGGACTTGAGGGTGGCAAGACTAAGAAGAAGTGTGGGAAAGTCATCAAAAGGCCGTCATCAACTATGCTGCCGGCGCCAACCATCGCTCCAAAAGGCCGCAGTGCTCCAAAAGCAAAGCAACGGCCTGTGTCGTCGGTGGCCAAGGACAAACCAACGGGTTGCAGCAAGTGCCGCTACAGCAAGAATGGTTGCGGTCGATGCCGTCGCAGCTGACTTCCAATGACATTGGACATACCGGCATAGCTGAGTCTCAAAAAGAGCGGAGCAGTTGCTAATGACTTTGTCGAGTCTAATCAAGAACGACCATCGTCTGTGTGCCATAAAACATGCACAGGGTTGAGTGTGATTGTCTTATGTCCAGTTGCACCTGTTCATTGTACTGCATCTGGTTGTATGTCCCCGCTTTGGCCGAGGCCTGCCAACAGCCTTTGCAACAGACCTTGGCAGTCTATTAGTGTGATGAGTTGCTGATGATTGCATGTTGCCAAATATTTGATGTCAATGATGCAAAAGTCCGGAAAAGTCCGGAAAGTTTGTGTATAGTTGTTTGCTGTCAAAAGTCTGTCACTTGTAGCTCGCAAAAGGATGAGAGTCAGCTGTTTGCAGTCACTTGCGTTGTAGTTGACATTGTTTGAAGGAATCAAGCCATTTAGTAAACATGGTTGCAGTCAGTTATTGTCAGTGTTCACGTCAGAGAGCACTTAGGCTTAGGTGTTGGGTCATAAACTTGAAGGATGTCATTGACAGGCCCAAGTCATTGTTGAGTCATTTGTCATTGTCATTGAAAGTCATTGTCCAGGCCCAAGTCTTGTGTTCAGCGCCTAGTTACCTAGTTTGCCATGACATCCCGCGGAGCCCAGATCTCGGCAGTGGCCCATGCGGAGAAGGCAAAGCAGGTTTGGCAAGCCTGTGATGGAATCTTCGACAAGCTCCTTGAAATGGCGCCAACACAGGCCAAGGTCGAGGGGATCGCCATGGTCTACCACTACGATGGTCAGTCTAACTGGCACAACCTCTTCCACGACAACCGAGATAGACTCAGGGCGCTGTCGGTGCCAGAACTCGGGAACGCAAACTTTGGGAACCTCCTACGCTTGGTGTGCCCATCATACGTTGTCAACGAACCATGGTGTCAAGTTTCAAGTCATTGAATTGTTGTCATTGTCATTCATGTGATTGTCACCTGATTTTTTACTTTTGTTTCTGTTTTCTTTTGTTTCGGACTTTGCCTTGCTTCTCATCTGAGGCCAAGATGACCAACGATGAAACCCTTGGATGCAGAATGGAGGGTTTGCTGGCCTACCTGGCATTGAGCAACAACCATGAGTGCCACACCGCTGAAGTGAGTGATTGGCTGGACAATTGTTTGCAACTGGCCCGCCTGTTCAATAAGTGGGCCCTTTTTGTTCCTTTGACTGAGAAAGTCTATGACTTTGAGGATATCGAAGCAATTTCAGCTCGATACTCTTATAGGGTAGGGCTGCCGGGGCTGCCGGCACTGCCCGCACCTTAATGGGCCAAGCGCCTTAGTAGGCCTTAGTAGGCAAAGGGCTGTCAGTGTCTTTCATTGTTGAACAGTGTCACAGTTCACTGAGTAGAGAAAACCTAACCACTTGAGACTGTTGTTTGGAAGGATTATGGGTTGCTGGGTGTTTGTTGCCGGAATTTGCCCTTTGCCTAGGCTCAGCCTTTTGGTACTCAAGTCACCTGACCGAACACATACATGACAATGATGCATGACAATGATGCATGACAATGATGACAAAGAGGAGTGACTTGAGTACCAAGTGGAATAGACAGACATAGTGATCTGTGGAGTGCTCTGTCCACTGAGAAAAAGAGCAATTTGGTTTTCGTGACAATGACAGTCTAAGACAATGATGTAATTAAACCACCGGAGCTCCCAAACCTTTCACTTTAAGTTTTTAAAAAAGTTTTTATACCTTTCCGGACTTTTCTGGATTTTTTAAGTGTCATTGACCACAAAAAGACTATATACACAAACTTTCAAAAGCAACTTTTGCAACTTGCAAACAGCCACCCAGGAATGCAGTGCTTATTCTGGTACTATGATAAGTCGGCTCCCACTACAGTACTCTTTCCTAGTGATATGAGGCTCGTCCTGGATGAGATTGCTGGTTTGTACTAACGCTTCATGTTACAAGTCTTGTTGCAATGACACTGTAGAGAACTTGTCCAAAGGAGCCTGTATTACAGTAGGAGCATCCTGACTACTGCAATTGTTCCTTGTATCATCATCCTATCCCAATCGAAGCTTTGCACACAACACGAGCCTTCTGTTGGAAAGGAAAGTTCTACTGTTACAAGGTAGTACCAGGTAGGTCTTTGTGGGGGGTAGCATTTGTATAAAGAGACAAGTCACAAATCTGTATACCCAGTGGTGAGCTGCATGTGCATAAAATATGTATGCTATATATATATATATGACTCCCGGTCTCTTGACACCCAAAACGGCAGCATGCAAATGTGGCTCCCTCATGTCAAAGTCCTGTGAACAGTGAGAATGTATATAAATGCGAGAACAAGTTGTTCCCTTTGTATGCACACACAACAGATTTAGCTTGCAGGCGTGCTCCTATACAGCAAAAAATGCTCTACTCATATCAAGCACCTCTCCTGGTCCTGTGGCATGCAAAGCCAACCAGTTTGGCGGAAATTGTCATGGCGACCTCTGCCATGCTCAATGGGCGTTGAGACCGCCAATACCCTCTTTTTGGCGTGGGGATATATAGTCCATATTCAAACATGTAAACTGTTTTGAACAAGCCAGCAGTGCCCAAGAATGCCGACCGGCTACATTGGCAAGAGGTCACATATCCAGTGCAGGGCAACCTGCGATCAATGCATGAAAATGCAAACAGACTGTTGCAGTCCAATAGTAGACAAACTGCAAGCAACGCAACGCCTGGCGTCTTTCCATTCTATATGATTTAAGGCAGGTCCACTCAATGAGAGTTCCAATTTCAATGGCGTTTTCTATTTACACAAAATGTGTTTGTGCCTCCAGAGCTGACAAAAAGCAAAAAACTATACCTATGGCCAATGCACAATCACAAGCCCCTTGTCCACTGCTCGCATCGACACAACATGATCATAGCTAGATCAGTGCACCAGGTTTTTCGCACAGAGGAGCTTGCATGTCCTTCAACAAATGGCTGAAACCATAGGGCAGCAAAGTGCCGAAAAGTCCGTGGAACGTCGAACAGCGGCAACTTCATCAACTAGTTCTGCAATGGAAAGCAAAGATCAATAGCACACATAGTCCAGGTGTGATCATCGTGACAGTACTAGGCTACTGTCCAAGTGTTGAACAAGATCAAAATTCACTGTGGCTAATGATTTCTGGAAGGCAACCACCGCATGACCAACAAGTTGTGTTGTCGCTCTGTTATTTGAAAAAAAGTATTTATGAAAGCTAAATGGAGGGTGTGTGGTCAGCAAAAATCGCTTATACGAAGTTAGTTAGTGCATCAAAAATACCTTCCACGAAGTTCTGCGAAGGTTTCTGGAATTTCGTTGCAGTCAGTTCTCCTACTGGCCCACCATTCCGCGAACTGTCCACGAATAGCCTTGGGTTCTACGAATGTCCCACGCCTTCCACGATGTTAGTAGAATAGGTTTTTGCAAAACCCTTTCTGGGCACTACCCTTCCGTTTGCCTCTGAATTTAGGGAGCAAACATGGTGTATGGCCATTCTCTGAATCGAAAATTGCGCACCACGTGGTTGGGATAGCGGTTTAAAAGTTTGGTGCGGCGGCGGTGGCCTGAAGCCCCCAGTCTCGGCGGTGGACGGGGATCAGTCTATGAGCTGACTTGGTGTCGAAGGCCATCAGGAATCTTGCCCTGCTATCATGCTCTTTGAGGGCCCTCATCGCACACTCCGAACTGGGGGAAAGCCATCCGGTTCGGTTGACTCAGGCGTGTGTTGACCTTGAGCCCATGGGCGCCGTCGTGAACCACCCTGACATCCGCCCAATGCTTGTCTTTTGGGACGGCCCCCAACGAAGCCACTTGCAGCTCGTCCCCATAGCGCCCCTCGGCTTCTGCTTTGCTAACCTCCACCATCCAACCCTTCTCAACGTCCTTGGGCACGTGCCCCTTCACCTTGTCCATGTGCTCCTTAGCCGAGGCATAGTTTTCCCTAATGATTGCCTCCTCCACATCCTCCTCCCATCGGGAACCCTGGGCCTCCTCAGACTGCGGCTTCTTATCATACACTGCCTCCACCCAAGGAATTTCTCCTCGAACTCCAAGCGGCGCGCCAGTGGTCACCATGTCCTCCACAAAGCGATGGTCTGCGTCCTCCACGATCTTGCCCCAGGCCAGGACCCTTCTGAGTGCAATCTCTGCAGGGATGTCCCCCTCCTTGGGTAGAGGTTCTTGCCCCATGTCACGAACCACTTCGTCCAGCCTCTCCCTCACGCAGTCGACCACGCCGCCAAAGGGGGACTTGTCGTGCCTGCCCAGCGCCAACTCTGCAATCAGCTTCAGCCTCCCTTTCTTTCCCAACTCCGTCACATAGGTGTCCACCTCCCCCCAAAACGAAGATGCCAATCTCGACGCCGCTGAGCTCCTCGAAGGAAGTCTGTGTCCCACGGGCCTGACGCCCGGGGAGTTCAGTCCAAGCCCGTCCACCATCCTCCTCGCTTTTCCTTTATACCAGACTTGGTGCGGGGCCCAGGGACCTCGTCTCGCAGGCCTTGGAAGGTTTGGCTGTGCTGTCTAAGCCTCTTTGATGGAGGCTCAACCTCCTCCGAAGCTCCACCTTGCCCGTCGACAACGCCAGAATCGTCACCTTCAGCGTCCGCCGAACCTTCTCCTTGACTGGGAACACCATCATGTTGGCCTCCTCCAGAACGGCGAGGTGGTTGCCCTTCCAGATCTTCAGGATCTGGTCGATGATGAGGAGGGTGGCCTTCAGAGTCTTTACGATCCAAACAAGGTGACTCTTCCCCCTTGTTCTCTTTGGCCCCCTTGTTCTCTTTGGCCTTTTCGTGAAATCCCCCCTTCAGAAGATGGTCAAAGAGAGTAGATGCTAGCCAATGATCCATGGCAGGGGGGTAAGCTGCTGCCGTTGTGGCGAATGCGTTGTCCGTGGCCTTGCGAATGAGGCGAGTGTGGAGCCGACCGCAGTTGCAGTTCTTGGGTAGGGGACCCTGGTAGAGGTTGTTGCCGTCCAAGTGGGGCAGCCCTGCAGCAAGGTGGCGTTGCAAACCTGGCAGGTTACGCAGCAACCGGGTCGGTTTAGGCGACGCGGCGCCAAGTTGGCATTGATAGAATGCACCAGTAAGGGCGTCACCTGCGTGAACCCAAGAAACAATGGGAAGCAGCTGCCAGATCGAGGCAGGTCGAGTGTCTCCCCCCCATCTCGTGGTTGCTCCCAAATCTTCCGGGTGTTCCAACAGGAAAGCCAAGCCCCGTTGAATGGCAAGTGAGATGACCTGAACGCAAAACTCAACCATGGCATTGCTCTTGCTTACCTTGTCCAGCTTATGGCCCTCGAGCCATGGAAACCCCAGTGGATGAACCGAGGATTGCAAAGGTTTGGGACCGAATTCGTTGGCCCAAGGCGCACGACTCCAAGTCGCACAGGGTGGTGACATGATCACCGCCTGGTAATAGCCCTTCTTCAACTTCTGGATGAGGTCCTCTTGGAGGGTTTTGTCCAGTAGATCATGCGAGGTTGACCGCAGGATGTCAAAGGAGTCCACCACCATCGAACAACGTTTCGGGGCGGTCGCGGCCAATCGCTTGGGGACCAGCAAACAAATAAAGGACTCTGAATTCTTGGCATGCATCAACTTCTTCTGCTTTTGCCTCTGCCCCTAGTCAAGGGGGCTTCGGTGCTCAGGGCGCTCATAACTGGGGTGATCCGGTGACAAGCAGATCCTGCAGCAATGAACACGACCGCATCCTCCAGTGCACTTCTCCTGGGCATTGTTCCAAGCGAAGCAGATTTGTCGCCCATCAGGCGTGCTCCCTTGCAGGCCTCCCTGTTTGGCTTTCCCCTTTCCTTTCTTGCCTTTTCCCCTGCCTTTGTTCTTGCCCTTGATGAAGTTCGTGTCATAGGGATGTGGCCTGTCAATGTTCTTGCTCTTGCCTCTCCATGGATCTTGCACACTCTGGGTGGCCGAAGAGACCGCCAGTGGTGTGCTGAAGTGACGTTCACGAACATCTGGATTCTTGGTCACCGCCCTCAGCGCCGAGACAAAGTCCACGCCCTTGTTGATCTCGTCGACGGCTTCTTTCCTCATCTGGTACTCATAGCTGATGATCAACTTCAACGAGGGCCTGTGAAGGGTGACCCCATCCACCGTCATGGATTCTAGCTGCGCCACATCCTTCGAGCAGATGTAGTTCAGGTACTCCATGGCCACAAACGGGTTGATGTCCTTCAGAATCTCCTTGCTGGGGTACCTGAAGCGGGCAAATATGAAATGATTGACCATCAACATGATCTTGCTTCTGAACTCTTCCATGTTAGTGGGCGAG